GGGGGGGGGTAGAGGAGCGAGAGAGAGAGAAAGAGACAGAGACAGAGGGGATGGAGGACAGACAGACAGACAGACAGACAGACAGACAATAGAGGGAGACAACAGAGTGAGACAATAGAGGGAGACGGGAAGAGGCGAATCACGGCGCTACAGTAAATCAGGTGTGCATAGAGAGCAGTGTCTCGTTTCTGGCATCCGGTAGATACTTCGATGCCTTGATGCGTTGTCGGAGAGTCATCAGAGTGAAAACTAAATCATCATCAACGGAAGTTGTTGTTCCATCGCGCGACAACGTGTCATCCTCCATCTCACACGCACGTGGGTACACCAGCTTTGCCACTCTTGTTGATCCTGCAAATTCTTTTTCGTATCACAAAAACCATACCCCAGAGGACAAGGGGCAAGCGGCTGGTGGCACGCCTCACTTGCTCGAACGTACAAGCCGTCTCGCGCTTTCGACAACGAGCTCGTCGTCCATCAGGGGCACGAGTTCCTCGTCAGTCAGGGGAGGTCGGGTGTCAAATCAGATTTCAAAATGTCAACGTCTCAACGTCAATACCTCAACACGTCAACATCTCAACACGTCAACATCGCAACATGTCAATATCTCAACACGTACCGGCGGCCTTCTCCTGTTTCATGCTCTGCTCTAAGCTCGGAGAAGCGAAGGTCACCACGCGGAACCTCCCGCACGAGCCCATCTGATTGGTTGGTCCGTTTCGCCCATCAACAACGATCACCCACCATCATCAGCACCACCAATCATCGATCGTCAGCAGAATCACGGTCAATTTCACCCGTCAACAACGACCATCATCAGCATTGCTTGGTGCGATTTAGTGGCATATGCTCATCGATCATCATCAGCACCACAAATCGTTGATCATCATCAGCACCACAAATCGTCGATCATCATCAGCACCACAAATCGTCGATCATCATCAGCACCACAAATCGTTGATCATCATTAGCACCACAAATCGTCGATCATCATCAGCACCACAAATCGTTGATCATCATCAGCACCACAAATCGTTGATCATCATCAGCACCACAAATCGTATATTATCATCTTCAGCACCACAAATCGTCGATCATCATCAGCACCACAAATCGTTGATCAGCAGCAGCATCATGACCTATTTCACACATCAACACCGATCATCGACCGCCAATATCATCGTTTGGTGCGATGGCGACATGTGCTCATCGATCATCAGCAGCACCACCGATCATCGATCATCAGCATCATCGTCGTTGGTACGAGTGTGATGTTATTTCGTTTCGTGAAGGAAGGCAAACGGAGTGGGTCTGCACGCAAGTATACATGTACAATGTCAAAAACACATCAGTGTTGGGCCAACTACTGCTGCTGCTGCCTTGGAACAGCAACGTATGCTCTGCAACTTTGCCTCAATTCCTCTCAATATCCACGCTGATGACCAGACTCGAAGACACAAACGAAGGAGGAAAAGCAGACTCTGCGGGTAGCAAGGCTAATCCAACCCCACATAAAAACAAAACACGTCGAAAACAAGAAGGTGGAAACCAAATACTGAAGCATACTCCACCCAAACCACAAACACACCTACCTCTTCGCGAGCAACCGCCGCCAATGCGTCCTTGCCCGCCGCCGCCGCCGCCGCCGCCGCGATCCGTGTGATGTGGTCCACGGAGGGCAGGATCTTAGCCCCGACCACTCGTGCGATCCTGTTCATCATGCTAGGCTGGAGATTGGGGGGCGGGGGGGGTACTCTTATGTTTTGCATGCCTTAGCGGCTAGGCCATTGACCATCCGTCCTCGAGGGGACGGAGCATTGAGGGGCAGGGGCGGGGGGGGGGGTGGCTTCATGTAAATGCATGCCGTAGTCTCCCATCACCGCCAGCAACAACAGCGGAACGATACACCCGCGAGCCGGTACCCTGCTGCCCCTCACGGGGCCCCTGCTAACCTTAGCCGTGATGCTGTCAAGGATTTCCCTTCGCCCGGCCAAGCTCTAAATACCAATCATCTCCCCAAACGAATGAAGAAAAAAAAAGGCTATACGGAACTTCCCCGCATCGCCGTCCGTGTTCCGCCGGGAGGCATCACGGAAGGCTGGAGCACGTAGTGGTGCTGACCCGTATCGAGAACCCGTACTGCCGGCGTGCTGGGAGTGGCTATCACGCCGGGCAAAATGTACCACACCCTGTACAACCACAGCTGCAGGTAGTGCTTGTGTGTCAGACCACCACAAATGTACGACAAGCTTGTGCGACTAGGTTCCTGAAGACAACTGCGGTTTGAAAAGCTTGCGCGACACTCTTAGATTCTCGCAGGCAACCTCCGCCTCTTGACAAGCTTGTGCCACTAGATGCCTGCACACAAACGCTGTTTGACAATATTGTCCACCTAGTAGATGCCTGCAGACAAACACTGTTTGACAATCTTGTACGAGTAGATGTTGCCTGCAAGCAACCACTGTGTAAAATCTTGGGCGATGAATACATGCCTGCAGACAAACGACAACAACGGTTTGGACAGACTGCTTGTAATCTGCAATCTCTTAGTGGCCTCACGGCACAACTCACCTTGACGTTTTGCACGAGTGTGACTCCATGTTGTCGGAGGAGGTCTTGGGCAAGGCCGCTAACAGTCTTGCTCACCAGGAGGAGGTGGGGCCGGAGAGCTACGATTTTGTCTACCAGGATCTGCGAAGAACAAGAAGAACATCAGCATGATCGTCGTCGCCAATGACCATCTCTGATATCATGGTATTCGTCATCGTCATCATCAGGCGAATGGAATGTCGCAACCGTACACAAAAACCGAAGCAGAGAGAGCAACGCTTTGACACAACAACCAACGCGACAGCAACAGCACAACAACAGCAGCAACAAACAAAAAAACAATGCCAGCACAAAAAATGACCACCCTTCACCCCGATGTAGCGTTTCTCAACAACAAGCACAAGCACAACCACAAGCACAAGCACAACAACAACAACAACAACAACAACAACAACCACACCTTACCTCGATGTACCGTTTCTCTGCCTCGACTAGCGTATCGAGGCAAGCGATCATCCGCTCGCTGCGCTGGAACTCGATCCCTCCAGACAACACCAGCAGACGCGGACGCTCGATTACCCTAACCCCGAAAAAAATGACGTCCAAGGGAAAGGGGACAGTTCAAAAACTAACAGCCATCTAGACGGACACATTGTGTGAGACCGCGGGGACGCTCGATGACCCTGCCCCCCCGCAAGGAGATCAAAAAGGGGTACGTGTAAGGGAAATGGGACAACTCAGAAACGAAGAGCCATCCACATGGACACATTGTGTCAGGCAACGGGAACGCTCCATGGCGCTAGCCCTGCCAACAGATCAGGTGCGGGAGCAAACGGGACAACTCACGAACGGAGCGCGTGTTAGCGTGTCTTCGCTGCCGCAACAGGTACAACGCGGTGGAATTTCATGTGTATCTGGGCTGTGCGAGGCGTGTATACAAAAGATCCTCATCCATCTACGCGAGCCTAAGCAACTGCAACTTTTCCTGTATGTGATCAAGTCACCGATGTAGTGACAACAACAACAACAACAACAGTACCACGCACCTTGGCATGGTCTTGTGCGTAACGTTTTTTCGGAAGACGATGCCGTCAACGTATCGGCACTCATCACGGTGCCCCCCGGGAATGAGCTTCATCTTCACGTAAGGACGGATGTCGAGAAAGTCGCCTTCTTTCACGTTCGGGTCGACGGTACTCACCGCCTAGGGGGATTCGCGTTCGGTAAAGGGGAGGGGTGGGGGGGGAGGGGTGTGCTCATGTAAACGCATGCCGTAGAAGTTCGACCACTGACCTACACACACTCCTAGAATGCCGGGACTGAGCAATATGCCGGGTTTTCATCGGCCTAGGCTATCACATCACAAGCATGAA